TATAGAATATAGAATATAGAATATATAAATATATTATCTGGACTCTACAGTTCTTACAAGTAATGAGCTTGTTAAGCAAGAAATTAAGATGTAATTGTCAACAATAACCCACCACCGCTCCCCCCTCCCAAATTCAGGCCATATGTAATTTCTAATTAAACTTTTAGAGAAACAGCTTTCCATAACGGTGACATTTTTCCTACCAGGTGTGAAAAGACTTGCAGAAAATAATTGTATTTCCCAGGCACCAATACAAAGGAAAAGCGTATGAGCTCTGTAGCTCCCCAGCACACCATGTATACAGTGTCAGTAACTGCATGGAGTGGGAATTGATTAAAATGGTTCAGGTTTTGAAGGATTAATCAAGAGATGACACATGCAGGCCCCTAAGTGCCAGAAAAAAGGTGTTTGTCTAATTAAAATTTATTCAGAGCTAAAGCCATCCTGAGTTAAAGCTTCGGCAGCATCAGATCATTCCCACGTTCACTGCTAGGTACATGCATTATGCATCGAAGCGTGTTCCTGTCCTGTCCTTGAGAGCTACAGCTGCAGCAGAGTTGGAAATGGTAATTGATGGAATATATAAATGTCATTATTGTTGGCATTGTGTGGAGAGGTGGTTGTGGGATTGTTTTTCTGTTGTGATGATGATAATTTTTCCCTCTATTTTGCTGCTTCCAACAATGCAGAGCAATGCCTGTTATTTCCAGTGTGGCAACCAAAAGCAAGATGTTTATGGAAATGTATGTTATATTGATAACTCTTTTAGTTAAACAGACTCTAGAGGTGTCTCTTTTTGCTTCCTCTTTTGTGAGTCCGCTTAGCTGCTCTGCTTAACATTACATCCATATCCCAAACTTTTTCAACCTTCTGCCCTGACTCTGCTGAAGAGAGTAGGTTGGGCATAAGTTGTGGGAGTCCTTCTCCCCACAATTAGGCTTTGCTTTAGAAGGGCACAAAGAAGGGACAGGCAGGGAGCCTGTTTGGGCAACTGAGACTTGTACCTGCTAACAGAGAGAGAACAGACCATGTCCAAGCTGTTTCAGTCTCACCTTGTATGAGGGCAGCCAAGATGATCCCCAGCCCATGCCAGTTCCTGAAGCACACTCACTTGGAAGAGAGCTAGGTGGATCAAGCCGGGAAAGTTCTGAAAAGGATAAATAATCATTTCCAGAGCCAAATGTGCAAAATGGGTGAAAAATAATCTAACTTGGTTATTGGCCATGACCCAACCAAATCCTTTGGAAGGTTTTGGTGAAGCAAGACACTGTTAATAGCACAAGGCTCTTATAGGCTTCTGTCACCTGGAAAAACTTGGACATAGTTCTAATAAAGCTAGAGAGGCAGAATAGTTTTTCTGTAGTTCTTCCTTCTTTGTTCAAAAAAGGAAGTATGGATCTCCTTTTTCACCCAAGTCTTTCCAGAGTGAGCAGTGGTAGAAATGCTCTCCATGTGTACATCTGGCTGCTGCCATCTGATTTCAGACTTGTGCAGCTTGAGGATGGGCAAAGCATCCCTTACAGATGCACCAGAGGAGAATGGTCTTCTTGTTCTAGTGCCCGAGTCTGGAGCAGCAGCTGAGCCAAAGAGCGAAAATCAAGTGCTGTTGAAGAACAAAAAAAAAGTGGAAGGCAAATAAGGACACATGCTTGTTTGTGTTGCTGTGTTGAGGCTTGAAGCATAATTTATAACATTGCTAGGTACAAAATGTTTAGGAGCAAATTTGGTTTTTTCAGTTTGCAGAATGACAATATCCTTCAAAATTGATGTGTCACAGCTTTCACATTTAGAAGAAAGAACTCTGGGTCCCAAGGAAACAAGAACAGGACTGCCAGCACCCTGGGGTATTTGTCAATACTTGAGTGGGAAACTGTAGGAGAGGTCCTGACACGTGGTGCTTATAGACAAACTGATGAGAGAAAGTAATTTCTGAATAATTTTGCAAGCACATGTTTGTTCTAATGTGTGAGGATGAAATTAGTAACTTACTCCTCAAGACAAAATATATCCTGCAAATAAAGACTAAACTGAGCTCCTGTAGTGAAGCAGAAAAGGCCAGAATCCGTTTGAACTTCTCCTTTTTATCTTTCTTTTTTTATTGTGAGTAAACAAACCACAATTTAAAGAGTGCATTCTCCAGACATTGATAAAGAAGCAAGGGAGTTGTTAGGTGGGAGGGAAACCTCCTGGGGAGCAGCACAGAGACTTCAGTGTGCTTTGGGTTAGGGTCTTCATCACAAGTGCCCCAGGCGTTTGAAGTTTGGTATTTACCAGAAGTAAAAACAACAAGAAAAATGGAAGTAGGAAAGAATCTGTTGTAATGAGCCTCTGTGGGGAAAAAGGAAAAAAAAAGATCTTGTGTGCCTAGTACGTGCCTGGAAGCGGTATTTAATTGACTGTGCTAAGAATAGCTCTGCTTCTCCACCTTGGTCTGCACTGGAGGAATTCTGAAGTATTTTAGGTGGAGAATCCGTATGAAACGCCAAAATATATCCCTTTAGAAACAGTGCTTGAAGGCTCCCTCTGAATCACTGTGTAGCAGGAGTCCAGCAAAGCCTTCTCGCCCCAGGGAGGAGGAATCACGTGGGCACTCCGATGAAGCAAGGGTCTTTGTTGCCATAAAGGTCATAAGACATTTTTCATAAGAGCAAAATCCTTTTCCCCCAGTGTTTCATAGCCTAGTTTCTACATGGCACTTTACATGCTTAAAGTCAGACTTGATACCAAACCAAACCCTCCACCCTTTAGGAACTTTGAAATGTGAACTGGATCCAGGCAGACGCTTGGAGGGTTGAGCTGCCCATCTCACCGTGGGTTGCAGCAGGCCTTTTCTGTGTTTGCAGTCTGAGCAGTTCTGAGGTGGTGCTGCCATGCACCTCTACATGTCTGCAGTGCATCTGCCCCAGGAGGGTGCTGAGACAAGTGGCACAGGTTGCCCAGAGAAGCTGTGGCTGCCCGGTCCCTGGAAGTGTTCAAGGCCAGCTCGGGCGGGGCTTGAAGCAACCTGCTCTAGTGGAAGGTGTGCTGTAGGGGAAGTTGTCCCTGCCCTTGTCAGGGTAGTTGGAACTAGATGATCTTTAAGGTCCCTTCCAACCCAAACCATTCTGTGATCTGTGCACAGCTGCAGCATTTCCTGTGGGAGGAGGAGACAGCACCTCCCTTTCAGCACTTCAAGGATCCAGTGATTGATAATAGTTGTCAGGAAGGTGCCAGGTTTGTTCTTGTCATCTAAAAGCATATGTGGAAGGCCAACTAGCATGTCACAACAGCTGACTTTTAATAGTTCAAAAGCCTTTGCAGAGTTTGTATTAACAATTACATTATTTTTACCCTTTTCAGGTCAGAACAAGAGCAGATACATTAAAAAGCTCTAGTAACTCCAGGGCTGTTATCTCCAGAGATGCACTCTGGATATTAGAGATATTCACTATGTAAAATGGAACAAATGAGCAAATGACTATAAAATATAGTGTATTGATTGTAATGGGAAGGCTTTATTATAGGTTTCACACTGTTGATTGGTAATGAGCCTTTTCTTTCTTTCTTCCCTTCTTCCTTTTTTACAGAGGCATAGTTCAATGTCTTACAAGTCTCGAGAGGAAGATCCATCTCTTACAGAAGATGAGGTAGGTTTCTTGCACAAAATCCAATAACCAACTAGAGACCTTTTTTCAGGCAGAAATTAGCGTAAGATATGCATGATTAAGCAGGATCTAAGAAAGGTGAAATTTGTCTGAAGGAAAAATGAAAGCCAAAGTTTCTCTGCACAGAGTTTATGCTGCCACATTCCTAAAATCAGTATTGTAGCATATGGCTGTATCAGGCCAATGAGTTAAAAACTGGTGCTAGAAAATACCAGGAGGCCACAATTAGCTGATCATTGATCAGCTGATTCTTGATTTGGATGACAAGCTTTATTTAAAAATAATCAGGAGCCTTTTGAAACATGCTCCACCTTCCCTCACAAAGTATATGGGGCTCTGGGAAATAAACAGAAGCACAATAAAAGCACTGAAACATAAACTGTCAGTAAAATAATTTGAGGAGATTGAAACAAAGATAGAAAAGTTAAACAGAAATGAGGTTGCTTGTGATCATCTCCAATAGACCAATGCAGTTTACAAAAATGTTTCTGGACATAAGAGTAAACACAAACTTGGCAATGAGCTGAGCAAGCTAATGCTTTCTGCTGGGTGAAGCGTTCCCAGACATTATGAATTAATTGATCCTTGAACTGGATTGCTGGAGAGGGTTAAGTATGGATGGGCAGAAAAATCATTTCTGTTGTTTGGTTGGCTAAAAACAGTAAAAAGTAAGAAGTATTGCCATCTACAATTGGATGTCTCTATTAAAAAAATCCCAAAAATACAGGATTAACAGAAGTGATCTGTTTCATCTGCATCTGTCAGTGGTGCTTAATGGCAATGGATGTTTTCATGCCAATCTACTGTTTTAATTGCATTGATACCAATCCAGAGTGGCCTTGCATGCTCAGGAAAGACTTTATATGTAAGAAAAGAGCTATGTTGCTATTGCGATGTTAGGTAGCAGAGAAGCAGCACAGGGAATTTCATCCATCTGCCCTGTACAGGGGGTGGTATCCACTCAGACTGGGTGTCAAGGGAGGCTCCCTGTGCTCAATGCCAGCCCTGGTGAGCCCTGAGCACAGAGAGGGACATGTGTGGACACGGGCTTCTCCTTCACCTCTTCATTAAATGCCACCTCTGTGCACTTGTTTAAGCATACCACCTCCTCAGAGACTTCATCTCCCTCTCTTGTGTTCATGGTAGCTGAAAGGTTTCAATCTCTAGTCTTAAGTGCTGATATGCAGTGAGAGAGATGCAGCTTTTCTCTGTAGGCAGTTTAGTCAATGGAACAGACTTTGTGTTTCAAGATCAGCACTGACTATTTCCTATGTTCTGGTGTAATTTATCTCCTGATTTTTAATGTTCTCTTCACATGATGCCTCTTTGTTCCTGCCTATAAACACAAGTAACTACTCTCCTGTTGGGGTCTCTAAAAGTAGCCGCTACCATTAAAATTAATAATAATTTTTAAACCTCCAAGGATCAGACAGCATCCTTCTCCTACATTATAGCAGCTAAACCTGATCATCCCTTTGGCAGCTGGCTGCAGGACCATAGCAAAAGTTGCAAGAGCTCATGCTCATAAAGCCATTCCCTTTTGTCCCACGTCTAATGTACCTGCAAGGGATTTATGTTCAACTAATTTTGACATTTATAAATATCTTTTCTTGTTTGAAAGAAAATCAGTGTGTAAACACGTGCCAGAAATAAAAGGATTTGTAAGAAATATTTTTTTTCTTTTTGTAAGAAAGGATATGTTTTTATTAGAAGATCCTGTTTTCTTTGTAAGTAACTGACATCCTTGTGGTGGAAGGGATACAAACTGGCACACAAGCTTTACACCATGCTTAAATACTTAGCACGTGTCTCCTTTTCCTAGATCTCAGCCATGTACTCATCAGTGAGTAAGCCGGGACAGGCCCTCAAGGCACTGGATTCTCCTTACACCTGTATTCAAGAAATTGCATCTCAGAGGTCCCCGTCCATTTGCAGTGGCCTCTATGCAAGTGTGAAGGACTTTGAGAACACCCTAAATACTACCACTGTGCCTCAGTCAGCGGACAGACCAAACGGAGAGCTGGAGCCTGACTATGAAGCGATCCAGTCAGTGAGCCAAGAAGAAGACAGGACCTTGTCTGTGCCTAACACAAACCACTCTGCTCTTTCAGGAGAGAATGACTATGAGAGCATAGGGGACTTGCAGCACCACAGGGATTTCACCAGGCTTTAACTGCTCCAGCAGGCAGATTTCTCTGCTGGTATTTTCAAAGGAACATGTGAAACATGGAGAGGGAAATTCTTCTCCCTTTGAGGAACAAAGCGAAGTAGAGAACAAAAGTTGTGAAGAAACAATGTATGTTTCAGCCAGGGTGTGATACCCGCTAGGTTATTCTGGGTGGTGGATAGAGGCTCACGGTAAAGGGTACGTCAGGTCAGAATGATGACCGGGACAGCATAAAGGCTTCCTTGTTTTTAGCTCCAAGACAGCCAGAATTTGGGAAGGAGTGCCATGCTTGTTGTCCTGATAGGACTACATACCAAAAAGACTGCCTTTACACAAAGCTAGCTTTTCATTTTATGTCATTTTCTTCAAAGTGTTTTTCAAGCATCATTTTCATTCAAGTTTGGGCACACAACATTGAGCAAATCATGGATCATTGTACCTCAACTCAGACTTACTTTGCAGGGCTGGGGAAGGCATGCTCACTTCTGTGTCTTTTTGGGGGCTCTGTTCACATTCATTGCAACTAAAGTGCAAACAACAGTACTTCAGAAGGGACCTACTCCAAATGTACTTGAATGAATTCTGTCGGCTTTTTTTTGTATGTCAAGGGCTGCAGAATGTGACTTGCAATACTTGAGATGTGTACTGGTATTTTTAGGTGGGTTTGTGTTTGATTATTTGTGAAATACCACTTTAAAATGGTAAGTGACACCCTTAATATTCTTGCTGTGTTCCCCTCACATGCACACATATACCTGTGTAAACACACAGCAGACAACCGTCATGTTGCAAAAAGTTGTGCAAATGAATGCATTGGTATAATGTTTAGTCTAATCTTAATAGTGTCGAGTCATTTTTTGAATACTTTTGCCCTTTTTTAAGACTTAAAATATTTTAATATGTTTGTCTAGTTTATTATGTAGGAAGATCTACATACTGTGGTCAGAGTGGATTAGATTTTTTATTTTTACAACAGGTTTTTCATCTTCGAAGTGTTTGTAGATTAACTTACTGTGTTATGTAGTGGAGGAACCCCATTCTTTTGGCTTAATTTGTTTATTTCCTTTAATTTCTATTTTCCTATTTCAGAAGTGTGTAAATGAACAACTGCCTTTGTTGTTGCTGTTGTTGTCTTCAGCTGGGATGTGGAACATGTTTTGCTGTTTTTAAGCTTAAAATAGTGGAGTCCATGAACTGCCAGAGGGCAAAAGAGAGGCAGAAGGGACAGTGGGACTTAGTCTGGGGCAGCCAGTGGTCCTCCTTGTTCCTCTGCTAAAAGGAGCAGGAGGCCAACCAAGAACTCCTTGGGGCTCTGACAAGCAGTTTGAAAACCACTGGCTTTGCGAGGATACCAAGTTATTCTGTTACTGTTAAAAGCAAAGTACAGAGCTTGGATGAAATAAGTAGGTACTGGGTTCATAATTTTGTTTTCTTCAAGAACAGTACAATGACAACAAGTCACTGGGACAACTTGTTAACCATATGCCATTGTGGCCAAGAAGGCAAATGGTATCCTGGGGTGCATTCAGAGGAGTGTGGCCTGCAGGTCGATGGAGGTGATCCTTCCCCTCTACTCAGCCCTGGTGTATTGTGTCCAGCTCTGGGCTCCCCAGTTCAAGAAAGACGAAGGAGAGGGTCCAGCAGAGGGCCACCCCATGATTAGGGGTCTGGAGCATCTCTCCTGTGAAGAAAGTCTGAGAGAGCTGGGCCTGTTCAGCCTGGAGAAGAGACAAACGTCCCTGAGAAGGGATCTTACCAATGCACACAAATGCCTAAAGGGTGGATGTCAAGAGGATGGGGCCAGACTCTTTTCAGTGGTGCCCAGGTAATGGGCAAAGGGCACAAACTGAAACACAGGAAGTTCTTTCTGAATATGAGGAAAAACTTCTTTATTCTGAGGGTGTCAGAGCACGGGAACAGGCTGTCCAGAGAGGTTGTGCAGTCTCCTTCTCTGGAGATACTCAAAACCTATCTGGGCACGATCCTGCACAGCTTGCTCTAGGTGAACCTGCTTTAGCAGCGGGGCTGGACCAGATGATCTCCAGAGGTCCCTTTCAACCCCAACCATTGTGTGATTCTGTGAATGAGTAGTGCAATAGTACAAGAATGACCCAACAGTAGAGAACTGGCAATGTGTGATATGCATTTGTACAGTTATGTGTACACATGTGCATATATCCCCATGTAAATATGCATACATGTGTAATTTGGACCCAAGTATAAATTATAGTCCAAACTTGGTAACAATCACATGCATTCACATACTTAATATCTGGCATCTGCTTGAAGAGTAGTCTATTTTTAATTTGAAATAAACAGTACATAAACTGAAGTTGGCTTATTCCATAGTAGCCAAAAGAGGTTTCATTTCAGCTCACTTGGTACTGGGTTTTGGTATACCAGATTGAGTCCTTCTCAGATCACTAGCCAGCACTCAATATCACTTGGTACTGTAGAGAGCAAACACAGATCTGGTTATGCACGTTTATTAGAAATAGCTTCATAACTGAAAGCAGTGTACTGATTTATGGGCTTTGCCTGTAAGTAGTATGACTCTCAGAAGCAGTGCAAGTGTGCAGTCAAACTCTGCCCAAGGGGTGGTTGAAGCTGTGTGGATCCTGACCTCATGCAACAGCACAGCACACTTGATCTATGACTCTCTGCCTTTGAGGAGAAGCAGTTCAGACCAGTCTACATCCATCTTGTTCTTGACCATGCTGCCACGCTTCCACAGCTGCAGCAAATCCTCTGCTTCCACTTCGTTACAGTGCTTTTGAAAGCTGACTTTGGTCTTCCTTTCTGGAGTTTTTCCCTCAAAAAAGTTTCTATTTCTGTTCCCTTGAATGTGAATTCATGAAGTTCACCTTTGACTGTTCTCTTCTACTTTACACTGTTTAAGGCCAAAGATAAGATACACCATGTTTCAGAAGATCTGTTGTGCGAAGTCTGGAGAATTTCTGAAGTCTTTAACTGTGTGTTTGCTGTCTGTTCCTTGCTCAGGGGTACGGGTTTATATATGTAGTCCTCAGTCTGAGTCCTGCAATGTAGTGGCAGGCATACCTCAACTCCTGAAATTCCCAAATACATCTCAAGATGTAATTAGCCCAGAGGTTATACCTTAAGGATTGTCTTACTTGTTACATGGATGACTGCTTTTGGAGAAGCAGTAGCAACAAGAGGTTTGTCAGGATCACCAGATTAAGACCAGTTTAAAGAAAAGAGAGAATTCCAGTTAACAATAGCAAAGAATAACACTGAAGTCTTGACTGTAAAATTTTAAGGTGCAAAAGAAGAAAATCAAACATCAGTCCAGAAGTGCCCTCGTCGAGATCAGCAAGTTAGAGAAAGGAGGAGGGCTGCCCAGCCATTCTTCGTGTCTTTTAGAGCAGGATCAAGAGTGTTGGTTTGGAGGAAGGGACATGAGACTCGATTTCTTCCTTCCTTCCTTTCCCCTGTTCTAAGAGCTGCTCCTTGAGAGCCCCAGATTTCCCTATTTCACAGTGAAACTCCTCCCCCTCTCTTTTTGCTTGTTTCTATTTTTAACCTGTCTCATGCAGCCTTATACTGGGAGCTGGTTCTATCTCTGCAGTCCTGTGATGCTGGCACATTCCTTCCCATTTAAATGACTCAGGCTGGTCACAACCTCTTCATCATCCACCAGACCCTCAGCCTGATAGGGAAGGAGCTCAGATTTTTGGACTGCTGCTTGAGGGATGTGTACCTGCCCTCAGCCATTGAGACCCCGCACACATCCAGCTCCTGAGAGCTGCAAAAAGGAATTGCTCTCCTGAACAAGGATGCATAGGGGAGTCTGTAACTCCCCTACACTATCCATTATATAGTCTAATGCTAAAGAAAAATGTTTTCCAAGGTTCTTATGTGAATAATTACATCTCTTGACTAAGAATCAAGCTTACAGTTTAGTTCCCTCTTCCTAGAAGTCAGATCTGTTCCTGTATGGCTGTTGCCAATGCTTCCTTTTCAATAATACATTGGATAGATTTTTCTGACAATAATCCCCAAATAGATGAATCCGACTGTAAAGAAAAGGGAGTCCCTTCTGCTTGTCTCCTCATTACTGTAGTTTCCTCTTTCACTATATCCCTAAATAAAATGTCAGCATCCAAAATAAGGTATTTATTGCCTGGTGATCTTCTCTGGGGAAGTTTCAGAGTCTATTTCTTTGCCTTCATTTTTAAGCACAACTATATAATAAGATCTGACATCAAATTGCCACAGTAAGGCCAAGAGAAGCTGTAATGTGTGCATAACTGCACTGGTGAAAATGTCTTTTCTGATTTCCTTCTGGAAACAGGTAGAAATAGGAAATGCAGTTTGGACATCTCTCTCATGAATCTGTGTCTCCTGTGGGAGTTGTTCTCACCACATACCTAAACCACATACCTACACCAGTGCTAACCCCATCCATAAACCAGTCACCCTTTCCTACCATGATGAGTGCAGAACTGCTTTCTCAGTCACAGAAATTCTTTACAGATACCTGTAGCATAGGTGTGTACCTAATTACCACAGTTAGATCAGCTATAGTGCCTTTTTCACTAAGTAGCTAGTACTTCCATACACCTTTCCACACTGTGCTAGTTTAACTCAAAGGGACAACCCCAATTTTTACTTGTTTAAGTTGAAAACTGCTTTATAGAGACACAATAAAGGTATTGGACCTCAATTGGCCCTACAATAGCAATAGTCTCTTGCAAACATCCTCCAAAAAGCCCATTAAGGTAGCTATGATGACTAAGCTTTGCAATAAGAATTATCAGTCTCCTTTTGAAGAACCTAGTTTTTTGAACAATGAGCTTTCAGGGAGGTGGTGGTCTTCGTTCATGTCAACTGTGAACAATTAGTTGCTTTGGTCTTTCTGTTACTATCAGTTGCAGGCTTGCTTACATGTAGCAGGATTCATGGGGAGAGGGATGAGTAGGTGTGGGGATTCATATTCATGAGTCACCCAGAGCTAGACCATTCCCACTGCCTTGTTCTCTAAGCCCTCTCTATGGTGCCCTCAGGGAATCCATCCTGCAGGGATTCTTCTGGGCTGTGCGCTTCTC